TAACTAATTTACATATTTAACTAATTTACGTAATTTTAATTAATTAAATACAACTTAATTAACCCTATATGTTTAAATTACACCTACGTTTAACGTAACTAAATTTAAGGAATTTATTTTGTTAATTAATAATTAAGTATTAATTTAACTAATGTAGTAGCTAAAATGAACCAACTAATTCATACAAAAAATACGTAATTCAAATTACATACCTTATCTGCATAAACAAGAAAAATGATATGAGATTGGTAGATTACATCCTTCAATTCTATCTGGAATTCTATCTGGAGTAGATGGTGTGATTTTGTTGAATGAAGCGGAGGCTGCATATATAAAACTTGTAGTCACGGACTTAGTCACGGATGTGTCCGTGACTACACATTTTTGCTTGTCAAAGAATTAGTCACGGATACGTCCGTGACTAACAGTAGTCACGGCACTAGTCACGGAACCATCCGTGACTAATTTCAAATTTAAAAAAAATCCCGCCGGAGGTGAAATTGGGTTGGCCGGAACACTTTAGTCACGGACTAGGTCCGTGATTAACTATAGTCACGGACGTAGTCACGGCCAAATCCGTGACTATTTTTTTTTAAACATTCCGTGACTAAACCGTGATTAGAACCGTGACTAACTAGTCACGGACCAAATCTGTGACTACGGTCCGTGACTACAAGTGAATTTTTTTGTAGTGTGTAGGAGGGGAATTTAATGGTCAATCTCTTGTAATCTCAACACACTAAAATACACTACTTTATCTTTCAAGTAAAATTTTCACTTCTCTCTAAAAGTCTAAAACTATGATTTTACGATCAATCAAAGTCATTCCTAAAATTTTATGTAAATTTTATAACCCTAGATGTATTGAGATATATTTTAAAGGCGTGAATGATTAATCTGACATGATTTTAACTCAACTAATAATTTCTAAAACCATGTAAAATTTCTACAATGAAAAGCTCAAAATAGGGTAATGTAAGTAACGCTGATTTTTTTATGAATGAAGGTGCTCTAGTGTTAGAGACATACTCCCTCCGCCCCCAGGGGTAAAGTAAGCGTCGCGGTCTCTCCCTAGCAGGTCTAAGGTTTGGTTTTTCCTTAGCAGATCTAAGGTTTGGTTCTTCCGGCCGGTGAATCCTCTTCACTTGTGCCCGACGCCGGGATTGGATTTGAGGCAAATTGACAAGAATCCTTGCCCAAGTTTGACGACATCAAAGCCAGAGTTCGGTGATCGATTTCTTCGTGAGCAGGGTAGCAAGGACATGACAGCGATGAAGATGACTGTTAGCGGTGGATTTGCTATGAGTGCGGGATGAGGAGAAGTGCACGGATTTCGAGCAAGCAAGATGACGATTGACAATGGATGATCAATTAGAGTGGTACCAATGATACGACCTCCTCCTGAACCACCGCCGTGGTTGTACGAGGTGCTAGAGTCCGTGGAATAAGACTACTAGTTATTTTTATTCTGTCATTTGGTTTCTTGGTATCGTCTATGTTGTTAGGTTTGTCAGTTTGTTTGAGAATTCAACATTTTTTTATGTCATTGAGTATGTTTGGATCTATGGGAACACGGATGGCTGTGTCAAGCCCGCTACATGGTTAGCGATTCGCGTTGCTCTTTCAGGTGTGACTGACTCTAAGTCTGATCATAGGATTTACAGTCGTAGTTGTTGAATTTTAGTTGGTGTCGGTTTTGTTTTTCCTTTGATTGATGTAATGATCCTGAAACTTATGATATGAAAGAAGGCTAGTTGGCGATCATAAAAAAAATTAATGCTCGAATCGCGATTCGAATTCGTATAAGACTAATCGAATTTGAAAAATCAAATACAAATAAGAATACTAAATTTAATTCGAATTGTTATCAAATACAAATAAGAATATCAGTGTATTCGAATGTTAATCAAATATATTCGATAAATAATAGTGATAATATTAATAATATTAATATTAAGAATAATAGTGATAACATTATACAAGTAATAATTATTAAAAGATAGTTGTGGACATATAAAATTATTGGGCCAATTCTGATTATTATTACGTTTTTTGAATGATATTGGGCAAACATCGGATTTTATTAGGCTACTCATAATGGTTGTTGGGCCTTATTTTAAAAAAAAGAAAAATATTAATATGGATATATTCAGATATAATTTAATAAATTCAGATCATTTAACATCCAATTAATTTAATTCTTTGAAAAGAATGGATCGGTCCTATTAATTTCTTTATCTTGAGCCCGTTATTAAATAATGACCCAATAAATACGAGACATGATCCAACTTTTGAAGTTGATCACGAATCTGGTTAAGGAATCTATCCATATACATGAGAAATAGTTATGAACCTCGTTAAAAAGGTTGTACAGATATATCGAACAAGTGTTGATTTTTCTAGCTATTAAAATGCAAGCAAGTGGAGCCCAAAGCCCATTTTCATTGAGGTCCTAAGCATATGAACGAATTTCACAACCCTAAAAAAATATTTTCACCCCCTCCACACCTATAAATAGGGTTCTCAGCTGAGAGAAAGAAGAGAGAAGCTCCGGTCAAAGAAACGTCGTAGACAAGCTCAGAAGAACTCCCTAGAGGCTCTGAACGATTCTGAAGAAGAGGGAGAGATCAAGCCACGAATTTTATTAAGAATATACGAATAATCCTTCGTGATTTCGTCGGTTCTTGATAAAATAAGTCCAAAAGTTGAAAACCGTTCGAAGATCTCAAGAATGAAGCTTGAAGATTCGAAGATCTGAAGAGCAGGACTTTGAAGATTCGAAGATATGAAGAACGAATCTTTGAAGATTTGAAGATATTCATATTAAGATTGAATTAATATTCAATTAAAGATCAAGCCATATATCCCGAGAGACCCTTAAACAGAAGATTAACCATAAAACGGCCCTTTTGTTGAAGATCAAGTCACTTGAAAACCGGAGGCCCTTCAAGTTGAATTCTTAATTCAAGAAGATTTGAAGATCTGAAAAATGAAGATTTGAAGATTTGAATATCTCAAGAACGAAGATCTGAAGAACAGTCGAATTTTTGAAGAATTAAAGATTTAATTTTGAATTAAATTTTTTAATTATATTTATTTATTTCAATTTGCAAGTGAAGAATCAGAGGATTCATATTTAGAGATTGTACCCAATATTCTCACATATTATTATTTGCGATCAGTTTTAAGTAAATACTTAAAATTTGTTTCACAATAGCTATGCCCGCAAAGTGTAGCCAATATATACATTTACGTATACAAATTCTAAGTCTATTTGTAATAAATCAGAAGTATCATAAGGAGTAAGGGTTGTAAATGAAAGCAAATAATTTTAATTCGATTCGTGATTTGGATTCAAAATTATGATTTAAATTTCAAAATATATAATATAAATACAAATGCAAATCAGCTTTTTGGTTCAAATATCTTTCAAATACAAATACAGATATTATGTATTCAATTCAAAGAATAATCAAATATATTTGTTTATACATATACAAAATCAACTACCTAATTATCTATCTTTTATTAATAAAACCTGGTAAATGTTCCCCGACATTTACTCCACTGATTTTGGTGGTTTGTCTTTCGGCTTAAAAAAAAAAGAAAAAGAAAAAGAAAAAGAAAAGAAAGAAAAAAGCAACTACCTAATATGCATGTGTGTGCATCAACTATTCACCATGTGTGTATAGTTTAAATTATAATCTGTATATCTAATGGTTTTTTATTAACAACATCGTTAAATATCTAACATAAAATTAGAATCGTTTGACTTTGGTATATACAATTATCAACTTATTTTACACATTTTAAGTATAATTTCTAATATGTGTGTGTTAGTGTTTATTTCAAAATGTTTGAAATAGATGTATATTTAAAAATCATAAAACTGATTCACTTTATTATATTGTACACAATCTAAAAATGCATTGATCCATTAATTTTTAAGAAAATGTAATGTTACAAATCAAATTCTAAAAACACATATTAAGTCATAACATGCATTTATAACATAAAAATATAGGAAAAGTTATTTTAAAGTGATATTTGACTAATATTTAAATTATGCTCAAACGATTCGATATTCGTATATGATTCGTTAACTATTCGTATTGTTAAACAAATACAAATACAAATCGAAATTAATATTCGATTCATATTTGAATTCAGATTCGGATTCGAAAAAATTAAACAAATACAAATACAAAATTCAACTATTCAACTCGATTCGCTTCGTTTACAACCCTACTAGTCCCTCTGTCCAAAAAGATTGCCAAATTGACTTTTCTTGTTCAATGGCGGTAAAGTTAAACCAATGATATTTTTAATACAACATTATTTATAAAAGTATAACATTTATAAATTACACACAAATGTAATACGTAAAATCATGTCTAAACTTTTATACCATTGACCAAGAAAAGTCAAATTGGTCGATCTATTTGGGGAGAGGTAGTACCAAAATATATAATAAAGGTATGACCAATTTTGACTTTCATGTGGAATAATAAAATAAAAATTGTGATGTTATAATTAGTATAGAGGATAGCGAAAATATATACATATTGCAAAGCTGTTACTTTAAAAACTAGCAATACTTTTTGGGACAGCTAAATGAGGAATGTTGGCAAGGCTTTGTGAGACATAGGGAGTAGTACATTAGTATGGTAAGATCTCACAAGGGTCTAATAAAAGTTACTCCGTATATGTTTCCTGAGAAGCATATATAAGCAAATAAAAAAATTGTTAATGATAAACTTGAAAAAGGTTTGAAAATGAATGTAGTTTACACCTATCCTCTTATGAAAATTGATCTTCAAATCTTTTAAGAAAATATTAGGTTGGACAGCCAGAAAATGATTTCTCCTGTTATTATCTTCACTTTGAATCCACAATTTAGCTTTAACAGCTACTTGGACATTTACTCGTATGAAATTGATTTTTATGACATTAATTCGCTTCTCTGCTTAAGTGCAGAACTGTCTGATAAAGAATCAGACTCCTCGAAAGTACCATGCATTTAAAATTTTCTTCTAAATATTGTCACACAATTAGTACACAGAAAAAATATTGTGTTTGATCGTGTTTTATCAGTTGTAGCCATTAAAATGCTAAATACAAATGCTAAATACAAATGTTTTACGGTGTGACTTGAGAAAAGAGCAGTAATGTGTTGAGTGTTGACTATAGGCAATCCCCAATTTACCCTCTCACAGAGTTCATGCTGGAGAAGAAGTAATGGCAATCTTTGACTTGGTAGGCTCGAGCTTGGGTAGGATTTCAGAGACCACCCTTTGCAGGGGAACTATGTTAAGCTGTTGGCTGTTTACGAGCAACCCTGAGAGCAAGTTGACTTCCAGGGTTCCTAAAATATCAGTGAGTAACTCCTCCCAAAGTTTGAAATCCTCATTAATGTTTGATCTTTTCATGAGTTCTTTCACTTGCTCTAGGGTAGCTACATTTCTACCTGCACCACAACCCATAGCAGTTGCGCCCCCAACAGCATTTGCAAGGGTTAGAGTATGAACCAAAGGCACATTTTGTATATAACCAAATGCAATGGCAGCCACGAAGCTGTCTCCACACCCGACAGTGTCTATAACATTCACCTGTTCAGAGGACAGTTTTGTTTTGTTAAGCATAGAAGTATAATAAACGGGATTAATACTTCATAGAATTTTTTTAATGCAATTAGCCAGCTTTTAAAAAAAGGTGGGTCTATATCAAACACATAGGAAGTTTATTGTTTCCTATTTAGCTTATGTGGGCACTCTTCAATACCCCTCCCGTATACACAATCTCTGTCTGGACTACATTCTTTTGTACAACTTCACCCATCCCTCAAGACCAGAGGTGCCTAGAAGCTGCAATTTTTTTTCTTACGGGCATGCACACTTCACGATTTCATGGCTGAAAAACATTCATCTTGCCTGTCCAAATTTTTCATGCCATATTAACCAAAAAGCAATATACAACTTAGACATGCAGAGGTCTACAGAAGAGATTCAAGGAAATAAAGCTGCTAAGTAGTCAACCCTAGGTCTGCTATAGAGTATGATGCTAAATTGCCAAGTCAATAGAAGTAGAAGAAACCACAAGGCACAAATTGATACCTTGAAAGCAGGGGCGCAAGTTATACTTGACCTGGTGATCAAAATCGAACCATTTGCACCCATCTTAACAACCACCCACTTTGTACGAGTTCCTTTCTTCAGCAACTCTTGCCCTGCCCTTATTGGGTTTTCAATGCCAGTCAATGATTCCACCTGGTTCGCACCAGACACAAATGAAAAAAATAAAAAAGAAGATACTTTTTGAAAACAATTTAGGAAGAATGGCAGCAGTCGTACTAGAGCTTGTGATAACAGAAATATGACTAGTTTTCTTTTTGAATGACAACATAATCTCAAAACTCTAAATGTATTCAGATTTTTTCTCCCCCCATCCCCTGCGCAGCTTCCCGGCATCACTATCAAGCTGCCACCGTTAAATCCAGAAGATATCCAAAAAGTCACCAGAAAAGTCACCAAAGAGTCGCCATAATTTGCTGCCGCCAGTTAGTCGCATGTGGTTGGCGTCACTGATGGTGGCCGCTTGTTAGTGGCAGTGACATATTGAAACCACTAGCAGACAAATTTAAAGTGACATGTAGAGTCACTGTTCTAGAATTTTCAAGTATTCATATTCTTGTTTTCAATTTTTCCTTAAGCCATATCTCTGCCAAAAACCCCAACAGCTTATGTTTAGTGATTTGTTTTGTCGTTCTTTAATCTATCCTTAAATATGGAAAGCATTTACCAACATTAGATAACACTTTGTTTGGTAAAACAGACAAATAGAGTAGAAAGCACTAAGAAGAGTGTTAGGATGTTTTTACTTGGACTGCTTTCAGTCCCCAGATCAGACTTTCAGATCAGACTTAAACAGACCGGACCAGATCAGACCAGATCAGACCAGAGTACCAGACTTAAACAAACCAGACCAGACTTCCATAGTTATAAATTACATAGAGACCAAACATTTATCAGACCAGACCAGTTCAGACAAGACTTAAACAGACCAGACTAGGCCAGCAAATTTCAGTCCAAGTAAAAACATCCTTAGTGGAAAGAGAATGTGATTAAAAGGTGGAATTTTTATAAAGACAAATAAAACAAATTTAAAAATGATATTTGCAAAATTGCGACGGGAAATGAAGGCAAAAAGATTAGTACTACGTAATGTTTTTACTGTTTTCTCATCTTAGTGGAGAAAAGAAAAATGTACCATGAACCCCACTCTGTTTCTTCTTTCTCCCCTATTTCTCTCCTATCCAAACCAAAAAAAAACTCCTTCCTCTCCTCTCTATTTCTCTTTTCTCTATTTTCCTTCAAACAAACAAACAAACAAACCATAATACTAGAGAATTCTGGATGATGTAGAAAGACGAAAGAACACAATGGGGATTATCTCAGTATAAATCTATCTTAAAGAAAAATGAGGAATCAACCTCCTCCGAAGTGAAGAGAAGCACATCACTCATCTTTAAGAATTTTTTTAATGCTCTCTGTTTTTCAGGTCTGCCTGAGACAAGGGTCACCCTTGGACCAGGGTCGAAAAAGATGGATGTTTCCGCTTCAACAGCACAATCCAAAGCAGATTCGAGCAGTCTAGGAGAGAATTCATCAAAGTCATAACCATTGCAGAACAAGATTTTTGATTGTTTTATAGCATTCTTTACTTCAGCAGGCAACTCAATCATCCAACTGTATACAGGATCCTTGGTGAAATCCGTTCGACTGAAAAAGAGTAATTCTCACCCTTGTAACAACAACATCTAAGAAGGAAAAGAATGAAGAAAGATAAGCCTTCCATCTTTTATAGTAGTGCATAGGTGCCTTGCCCCCACAAGGAGTTAATAAGTGTCTTTAGGAAAACCATAAAATGTGGGAATCTGCTGAACTAAAAAAAAATATCTGAAATGTGTTCCTTGAATTAACTAAACAATTACAATATCTAAAAGTGAATCTATAAAGTCCATTTCCTTTCATTTCAGCAATTTTTACCAAAAATAGTAACACATACGTGTGAAGTGATGAACTACTTTTTATTATTAGTTGATTCAATCAGTGCAATAGAATAAGTAAGAATGTGTTTGGCATAGCCCATTAGCCACACAAAGTTAGATTACTTCAATTACTGGTTACATGCATAACCAACTAATAATAATAGTCAGCTTTTGTGTGGGTAAAGTTTGCAATATTTTGAAAACACTACTTCAATCGCTCAATCAAGTTCCCACATTGACTTTTATGATCATCAATATGAATCTCTGACCATTATTATTATTTATTTTATGCTTTTCAAATTTATAATAAAAGTGTAGTTTGAATGATATACGTTTAAAAAATGTTCAAGATTATTTTAATGTTATAAATTAATATAATCTTTGAAAAAATGAGAACTTTGACAAAATAACAAAGTAAAAAACTTTCACTTTTCAAAAGTCAAAATGAGACAAAAGTCAAAATGAGAAGTTAATTGGGGGACAGGGGAGTAATTGATTTGGTTTACAGCAACAAAAAATTAGCTTTAACAATGCAAATAGTATGAAATCAGCTGGAAAAAAGTGTTGAAAAATAATCATGAACTACAATTTCCATCTTCTAAAGAACAGCTGAAAACGTGAGCAAAGGCTGGGTGATAAGCCAAAAGGCTGTATATCATACACACACTTGTCTTAGGTGGCTAAGTCAATCACCTGCAAAAACCATGTCTTTGTAAAGGATCCACCAGGACCCAACAGAGCAGAGTTTCACATGCTGCGCTTGACGTGTTAAATGTGTTGCTCTGTTCATTCACTCCAACCATACTGATTCCTTCACTGTGAAGAACATCTAAAAAGAAGCGCCCATATACATCATTACCAACATAACCAATTGTAGTACAGCAAAGCCCAAGTCTTGACGCTGCTATCGCCACATTGCTATTGCCGCCAGCTTCCCAGTATTCCTGCAGCAGACCAAAAAAGTCCATGATGCTGAATTACATTCATGTAAGGGCATGTTAGGCAGAGAGAAGCTAGAGAAGCAAAAATGTATACACACAGCAGCTGCCTCTAGGGCCAAAAGAGGGAAGCATCTATAAATATTTGGGAAAACCCTTGAGGGAAGCATTTTATAAATATTTGCATTAAGCGTCTCATTCGAGGAATGGTTGTCAAGGGGTTAGTCTATACGACTATACCTTAATACTTATATACATTTCATAAAAAATAAAAGACTAACATAATATGTGACATTAATAAAAAAATCAATCACCATTCATTTGTTCTAATAAACACTGTATTTGTAAAAAAACAGAGACTAATCCTCCAAAGCCTTTCCATCCAAAATCCTCCATCCAAACAATACTTGAAAGAATAGAAGGGAAGCACAGAACCTGACGGTAATGTAGCTGACCCTACAAGATTGCTATCAAGACTCATTTGAGAGGACTGGATTTATTTGAGAAAATATTTCTAGTGATTTCCCTGTAATGGACAGATCCACTGTTTTATGCCATGTGCATAGAAAATTTGCATACCATGAAAAAGAGGTGATTCAAAACAATTCAAAAAGATATTTAACTCTAGTATGATTGCATAAAAGCAGCAATCTAAGAGTCATATAAAATTAACTGAAAAAACAAAGAGGCAAATACAATACAATAAGATGATAGGAGGAAATCTCAGTTCAGAACTTTGGTCAAGAACTATGTTATTTGTCCTGTGTAAGTCACATATTGCTCCTTGGAAAGTGATGATACAATTGAAGCAGAGCATCTAAAAGGACAATGGAGCGTACTAATGAAGTGTGGAGAATGGAAGGGCTCAGTTTACGAATCATTTTACAAAAATTTGCATCTGAATTTCCCGAAGCAACCTACAAGGCTACACGTGACCCAAGTCATAGAGAGCCTGTGAAATCTTCAGAACCTAGGGATAGAGTAAAATAACTCGCAACTGCAACTTCTGGGGGCGTATACATTTATGAACTAATTAGTCAAAACCTCTTCTACTCTTCCCCAGATAAATAATCTAGCCATGAGAAACCATGAACCAAGGAAATATTTCTTTCGCCATTGCAAAGGAGCATTATCATGAGAAATCGCCACCATGGATTATTTCAATTTGCATACCAAAGCTTTTCCATACAACAAGGGAACTTCGTGTTACAATGGAATTAGAAATGGAATGAATTATTCAGTATAGAAGTCTATTATAATTTCATATGTGTGATATGATCACAGCCACAGCTTGGACTAATACAGGAAGCTAAAATAGCTATATCTGAAACACATCCAAATTCAATTAAAAAATCAGAGAGACTGTGGTTTCTAAGGAGAGTCATGCAAGAAATAGAGGGGAAATGAAAAGATTTTACAGCATAAATGCACAGTAAATTCGAAGACATACACAACCTTATCTGGAGGTGTCCTGGACAGCTCATCCATATAAGACTTGAGTTGGTCATGGGGTTTGGGGGGCAATTTAGGGACATTGAGCACAATATCAACACATAGGTTCCCGAACGTTGAGACATCTATATCCTTAACCCCGACTGCTCGGAAGCGGTGTTCTTCGGCGCCATTGGAAAGCGGGTGCTTTGGGTGATCCGTAATTTCAATCAGACGGCAATTGAGAATCGAACAGCGAGTCCTCCCGAGGAAGAAGGTACGAGTTACAGAAAGTCTAGGCTTCGGATCACTGTTCCGATTTGGTAATATGCCATTAAGTTGTACTGACGCAGGTTTCCGGTATATGGCGAGATGATGCATTCAGGTGAAAGCACGCTTGAATTAAAGTGAAATGAAATACTGAAATGAACAAAGTTTTAATTTATGTTTCTGCTTCTTTTAAAACCATAATCAAAATCATTTTTTTTTGTTTTGAACGATCAAAATCAGTTTTTAGAAATTGATTTTCTCTAATTTCTAAAAGTTTGTTTTTAGAAAAAATGTGAACACCAGAAGTACTTCTACAGTTTCACTCAAACACGAAAACATATAGGGCATGTTTACTAATAGAGATATTTTCTACTCCGTAGTTTTCTATTTCTGTTTTCTGAAAGTACGGTACCAGTCCGAAACCAAACGTAATACAACCCAAGTAGGGTACTGGGTCCCACATATAGGAAAGTCGGCATCGACACCGACCAGTCCCAGTCGATCTCAACGGTTAGTTTGATGAGTTCTTTTTCCTATTTCTTTATTGGTTGACAACTCAACGGGTCATTTACGGGATTGGCCCAGGACCGCCCAGTTGTCGATCGGACCGAACACAGACTGTCGGGTTGTTGATCAGACAGGACGGGGACCGCAGGGTGGTTGATCGGACATGACGTGGACAGCGGGGTCATTGACCAAACTGGATGGGGATCGCCGAGTTATTGACTAGGTCGGATCGGACGGGGCTGCTCAGGCGTTGATCGGACTGGGACTACCCGGCCATCGATCGGACTGGGATTGCTCGGCCGTTGATCAGACCAAACAAGTACCGCCTGATAGTGGATCAGACCAGACAGGGATTGTCGGATCATTAACCAGACCGGACAGGGACCGTCGGGTCGGGGACCGGACCGGACAGGGACCATCCGGTTGTCTACCGAGCCGAGACTGTTGGGTCGTTAACCGGACTGGACTGGGCTGCTCGGTCGTTGACCGGACCGGACATGGACCATTGGGCCAATGATTGGACTGGACCGCAGAGTCTTTGACCGGTCCAGATAGGGACCCTCGGGTCATTAACCGGACTGTAACTGACACCGGAGCGGGACAACATCCAACACAAGGCGTAAGTATGGAAATTCATTGCAACAACACCGCAACATCCGCGTTTTCCAAATTTGGAAAACTAGTAAAAGTCACTTCTCCAAATCATTAAGGAAAACAAAGACATATCTCATTTTTTTGGTTTTGGAAAACGATTTGGTGAACGCAATTTTCTGGTTTCCTTTCTCTAGTTTTCCAGCAATTTTTTTGGTAAACACGTTTTTTGTTTTCCTTTTTCCAGTTTTCCAATTTTCTGAAAAATTAGAAAATATCTTTGTTAGTAAAAAATGACCATAGTCTCTCCATTTTTTGATGTGTTGTAGTTTTATTACACTTTACTATTTTGATATGTTTTTCATTTAAAAGTATTCAATTATTTTTATTTTATTTTTTTGAAAATCAAATTACAAATTTATTATTAAAAAATAGCAAAGATACAAGAGAATGAATAGCAGGCTACAATGGGATGATACATAGAACGACAAAGATCCAATGAATCTTTTCATATCGCTAATCTCACAATAATATAGTCTAGTCTAATAGCTTTGCTGCTCTTATTGCTACTCCAAAGAGAAAATAAAAAATTACAACAAAAAGATCCTGCTTCACCAACCATCAGAAAGGAAGAATTGGTTGACCAACAACCAACAAAGAAAATTCAATTGAGCAGAAATTGTCCGGATCATCGATTTGACCAGTCACCGAAAAGGAGATCTAGTTGAGTGATACCTTTTTCTTCGATTGAGGCGGTGGTTCAGTAGGAGGGCGAGTAATTAAACCTTCAGAAGAATTAGGTTACATCGACGAAGAAGACACGTCCTCTAATTAAGTTGATGCAGTATATGGCCCAGGAATCCCCGACCCACATACTTCCACTACTACAATCAAGCCCACCAAGCCCAAGCGGCCCAAACACACCAAACAAGACCCCTGAATGCTACAGGGGACGTACGTCCTTCGGAACATAAAGGGCCCAGGCGACGTACGTCCTCCTGCACATGGAAGGCCCCGAGGACGTACGTCTTCTAACACATGAAGACCATGGGTACGTACGGCCTCTAATACATGAAGAGCTCCAGGTACGTACGGTCTCTAACACATGAAGGGCCCTAGGTACGTACGGCCTCTAATACATGAAGAGCTCTAGCTACGTACGGCCTATAACACATGACGGTCCTTCCCAGCTACGTACAGCCCCAGGGGACGTATGTCCTTCAGCACATGAGGTCCTCCTTAGCTACGTACGTCCTGCACCACCTGACGGCCCTCTGGGAACGTACGTCCTTCACCACATGAAGGCCCCAGGGGACGTACGTCTTTCAGCACACAAATGGCCCCTAGGTACGTGCGGCCTTCGGCTCATACATAGCCTTCGGCACATGCAGCCCTTCGGCACTCTCCTCGACAGGATCTCCTCTCCACATGCGCTGAATCACCACATTGAATGCAACATCACATCCAAACCACCGCATTGAATGCGACCACATGCTATGCTGGTGCCACATGCTGTGGCTGACCGAGTTGACTCTCCACCGCTGGTTACTTGCCACGTGTACCCTCACTTATTGCACCTAATATCTATGGCTGCTATAAATAGCTAGCCACTTCTTCGTTGTAAAGGATCCCAAATCCCATAAAAGAATAAGAACAACTTCATTGAATAAATACTCATTCTCTCTCTCTCTCTCTTACTTGCTCTGACTTCTCTCTAAGATACCCTCAATGGTATCCCCGGATATACTATGCGTCATAAGCATTGTTAGGAGAAGAACAAAGTGCATGCCCTTATTTTGGGAAAGCCGGTGGCTGCATGTGAATTATTTCCTCACTTGAAGCGGACATAACTCTCAGCCAAAGAAGATGTCGGACCAAAACCAGAACCATATAAGATAGAAATAAAAAAAGAAAGACATCATCGAAAAAACTCTTGTCAATCTGAGAAGAAGCCATAAGTTTATATGGTCAAGGAGCTCGCCGTCTAGGGTTTCATTATGGACGACTCATGTTTCCCGTGAAAACTGTTCAATGATTTTGATTATGTAAGTTTCAATTATTTTTATTTTTCATTTTTTTTTTATTTTTCTATCTTCTCTCCTACTTTATACACTATTCATTACATCTATTTTTTTTTTAATATTGTACTAAACCCTATAGTAGAAACCATAGAATACGAAGGATGTATAATGATATATTTAAACTTGATTATTTTCAAAAAATAATGATTTTTAAAAACTAATTTGTTAATCAATTACTAGTAGAAACTAATTTGTTAATCAATTACCCTATAGTAGAAACCATAGAAAAAAATAATGATTTCTTCCAACACAATTTGTTAATTCACTTAAAAACGGTCTCATATATACATTTTTCATTATTAAACTATTAAACACATTATATTCAAAAAGTAAGATTTGATAAAAGAATAAAAAAATGATGAGTGATGAAATACAGGGGAAATCCCGAAAATAGAAATAAAAACAATGTAAAATTTCAAAATGTGACACTATGTTATTAAATTATTAAACACATTATATTCAAAAAGTAAGATTTGATTAAAAAAATAAAAAAATGATGAGTGATGAAATAAAGGGGAAATCCCGAAAATAGAAATAAAAACAATGTAAAATTTCAAAATGTGACACTGTTATTATTCCTATATAGTAGTATGTTATTTTCAACCTATAACTTTGTGGTCATTTTTTGAAAATCATTAAGTTTAAATATATCATTATACTGTCACAGTTGGTACTATAGCGAAGTATGACAATAATTACGGAATAACAACATAGTACTCCTTTTTGGAGTTAGTTTTACTCGTTTTTAGGGTAATTTCTTTAAAACAAATAACAAGTTGGTAGTTTTACCAATATGTATATATGTATCAATGTATGTAGATTCCACATATGGTCGCAAATGACCATATAACAATGGGAGCAAATGCCAGACTTTTGAGTTGTTATTTGTTGTTGGTTGGCCTGATATTAGAGAACCCACATGACCTCTAATTCGCCATATAACAATCCTTGATCTGACTCGGTATATAATCGAGCCACACAAAGCACAAACATTGGTCTAAGTGAGCGGTTGCTACTTGCTAGGTCTTCTAAGTTCTTCTGTCAGGGCTTCCAGTTTTTGGGCTGTTGAATTATGTATTGTACTAGCCCGAGTCAAGTTATTGTTACATGTGGTGTTCATTAACAATTCAAAACTGCCAACTGTGTGTATTGAATGCATTCAAACGAATATTCTTCGAAAGAAAAATATGCAGTTATTACAAGCAAACTTTATAAGAGAGGAAAAATTATCAGAGTACCCAAAAAAGTAACACATGAAGATAAAAGAAAACGACATCCTTTATATATGAACAATCATGTAGAAGATTTCAAAAATGACATAATGTACAAAATAATCATGTTTGTCTTTTCAAGTGTACTTGTACGGAAACAATATTGTTTAGCCGCCCTTCTTTTAAAATTATCTCCTGATACACTCTAGTAACAAAACTATTTATTTCATTATTCACGGTCACAAAGCTATGCACTACAAAGTATATACACATATGATATACACGCTTACAGGTATCAAGAACAACCAGTAAAACAGGTCCTTCACTTTCCGATAATATACATCATAAGTCACAACAGCGATGAAAGCCAAGTGTAGTCTACAATCGGATTGAGCATAGAATGGCAGTGCTGAAATCCAATGAATGGTGAAAGGGCAGTTTCGAAGAGGATGATCTCCAGAATTTCTTCTTTGAATCATATATTTGAGCCAATAAAGTGGGTGATCTTTTATGGTGCCTTGAACTATGCGCGGAGGCACTAGTCCCATTAATAATGGTCATCACATACAACTCGCCATCCAAAGCAACAAACCCAACTGGTCTATCATCAGCGCTTTTTTTGGGTAGACTTGTTTCCTTCAGCCACCGGTTTGGACTACTATGGTACCTGTAAAATAATCAAGTGTTCATTATAAATGTTGAGATACTCTTTGCATGACCAAATGTCCATAATTGGGCTACGGCCACTACGCCAAGGCGTCAGAAAGATTTGGGACAAATGCATGCTAATGTGAGTATGTGACCCCTACAAATTAGGCAATGTTGAGGCTCAGGCCTTTTCGCCTGAGGCATACCCAATCACATTGTAAGAGTATAATCAGATAGGTTGTGTCACTTACAAATATAACCCATTTTTCTTTTAACTTCTCCACCACTTCTCTTCTTTAGCAATCACTTCCTTCTGTAAGTCTTCTACAACTTTTCATTCTCTTTTCTCTACTTCTCTCTAGCAAGGCACTTTTTTATTTGTACACTTTCTCCCTTAACAATGTGCTATATTTTGTTTGATGTTAGTATGATATTGCTAATTGCAGATAAGGTCAATTATCTTCTCTTCTACAAGGTGCTTTACAGCTTTTTCCTGCAATATTTTCCTTATCCATTTAATAGTGGATGTAGTAGATGTTGAAGGTGATACTGATGGTAATGATAGTGGTGATATTGGATTTTGATGTATTTTGATCACTATTTCGAATTAGTACATATTTATGACCTTATTTTTCATTCTTCAATCCAACAAACTTTGAGCATTAACCATCTGTGTGAAGAGACCAAACTAAACAAGTTGAATCACTTATGATATGACAAATAAGGGATCGATCAGAGCCCCTCTAGTACGCTTCAGTTTCAACTAATCTGCAAGTTATTTCACCCAACACTAACTTATTATAGGGAGATAGTTAAATGTACCTTCACTTCTATAAAGTATTTTACTTCTTTTAGTTCAGTATAGTTTTAAATAATTCAGCAGATTCAGCCACAAGTTCACAACTTTCATGAAAATCAACATTTTACAGCATTCCTTGGACTGCTTGTTATTGCTTAAAAAAGTACTTTTAAATAATTCAGCAGATTCAGCCACAAGTTCACAACTTTTAAGTTTAGAGCACTTTAAACCTCTTTAAAGTGAAAAGTTATAAGCACCAGATCTTTCGTTTTGACCAAACATTCAAACTTCTACTTCTAAAAAATAACAAATAATTCTAAACCCCACCAGCTTTGTACAATTAAACACCGCTCAATAAATTCTAAAGTAAAACACTCATCTTTAATACATGCTTACAGCAAGGCAACACAAGCTCCTAATCACCTCGCGATTAGTGCCATTTAAGGCCTAATACATAGGAAATAATTGCAGAAAAAACATGAACTCTTTGTTTAGATGTACTGATACTTATAAAACATTGGCAATAGCAGCAAGCCAACAACCCAACTCATGTAAATACTTAAATTTAACATTGTGAAAAATGCAAAAGATAAACAAGAACCATTTGTCAGGAAAACTGTAAAAACTTACCTGAAAATATTACTTTTCTCCAGCATAAAAACAGCAGGGGCATCACGCTCATCAACAACAGCCACAATCTTCCCAAGCCTCCTCCTCTCTCCTTCTTCCCACATATCCCCAATCTCTTTCCACTTCCCACTACCATTCTGCAGCTCCATCACGAGAACATCCTTGTAGTATTGATCCACAGGAAGGACATTTGAGATTGTTCTTGAATTTCCATATCCACCCATTACCCAGAACTCTCTATCCTCCTCCCCATGGCCCACAAAGAATCCGACACATCCTGCACGGAACCCTGGCAATCCGTCCAACTGGACCCACTCATCCTTTCCAATATCATACATCTCCACAGAACTCACAATACTTCCAGCAGCCCCAAACACAGTGTGTCGAGAACCTCCACCCGCAACAAGAATCTTATTAGAATTTGGGATGGCAGCACAAGCAAAGCTACCCCTGGGTGTGATCATGGGGGAGAGAGATTCCCAGGTCGAAGAGGCAAAGTCAAACCGAAATGCAGAAGAGGATGGGGATGGGGTGTCGAGAGGGAAAGAACGGGTATCAAAAAGAGAACCGCCGAGTAAATACAAGTGGGACCCGACCGATATTGATGTGAAATTGCAGAGACCATAGCCATGGGGGTTGCATGGCAAGGGCGGCAGTAAGGACCAGGCGAGATTTTGGGGATCAAATAGACATGGAGAGGTGATTGAAGGATCTTCCGGGAATATACAGAGTAGATGGGAGAGTCTAAGGGGTGAAAGAAGCTTGTTGCGTAGAGAGATTATGGTTTTCGATGAGAAGAGTAGTCTCCAGGATTTACATACGGATTTCAATCGCGAATGATGAGAGTAAGGGACGAATAATAAAATGAAGGCCGCTAAATCGTTAGGAAGGCCCGGAATAAAGGTTAGGGTTAAGGTTCGGAGTCGCGATTGCTGTCTGGAAACCATCGAATATGGAGGAGCCATATATGATAGCTAGCGAGGTTCAGAGTAAAACAAACTGTGCAATTTTGCTATGATCTTGCAGAATGAACCACGGGATTAGGTCTGGAATTTGAATTAAGGGGTGATAGGAGACAATTCTTCTTCAATTCATATATGCATATATCAATTTATTACATGTAAAGCGAGTAATACATACAAATATCCATGACTGCACTTCTCCGGTTTACAGGCACCGTTCAATGGCGGCGACAACTTTGTAGCCTTTCTTTATCATTATCATTATAGATTTATAGTGGCCAGACTCCTACTTTTCACTTTTCTTTTGGAAAACATGTCCATTAGCAAATGTTGTGGTCTCGATTAGAATGTTCTCATTTCATTTTCCATGTGCATTTTTAGGGTGTTGCTTCATGCATCCCACAATTGCTTAATGTAATCATGATTGGACAAATTTGACATTCTTAATTATTAATTAAAATAAAATATAATTAAAACATTAATCAAAATTGCTTTGCGCACCTCCATAGCTTCATGTCTGGCTCCTCCATATATCAATTTTACATTAAGTATGAGTCCAATAAAATGCTGTCATGTGACAAGTAATCCATTTTTTATAAAATGTCATAACTTTTTCATTTTTGCTCCATTTTTTAAAAAATTATACCAAATTAATATCTTTTTATGATCTTTCATATAACACCAATATTACATATGTAATTTTTAAAAAAATATGATCAAGTCTCGTGAACGGTCGACAAATGTATATTTACTATTATTTAAATCTAGCCTAGTCAGATCTGATTCTATTTGTTCGAATCTATCTGATTCAAAATCAGTTAAATTAAAAACATCCTAAATATCATCCACATCATAAATCTAGTCATGTAACAGATACGACTGTAATGTGGAATCAGCATTGTGGTGATGGAGTTTTAAAAGGCGGACCCCTCCACGTTTGAAACTAGTCAAACAAATAAAAAATGAAGATAATTAGTTTACTATAATTAAAAATGTTACTTATTTAAATATATAATCTAATATAGAGCTTCCAAAAAAATCTAATACGAAGTATAAAATTGTGCAAATTTAAAAAAACATTTATGTTTTTATAATATATAAAGTTTTCACTATGGGTCATTCGGAAACAATCTCTCTGTGCTTTAGTACAGGGGTAAGACTGCGTACATCCGACCCCACCTTACTTCACCGTAGGTGGGAGCCTTTACGACACTGGGGTAAATGAAAATGAAATGATAATATATAAGGTTTATATCAATCATCCAATACAACTGTAAAAGAGTCTCTTATAACATTACAAATTTTGTAAACTGTTTAATTCGATGAAGAAATGGAGTATCCCATCCTGTAACACTAGCGTCGTGATAGTGTCGTAACCACCGGTGGCAACGGAGCATTGTCATCAAGCCAAATCTGGGAATCAACACAAGTTGTCATTTTATGCATATCATATGGTAATGTGAAAATAAAAAAGGCAATGTGAAAACAAAATGGAACTATAATGACTCTTGACTACTTTTTACTCCTATTCGAAAGAGTGGTAAGAACGAAATGAAAAAATACGTATATTTTCTAATAGGAGTAATATGGTCCTATTTTGAAATAAAAATATAAGAAGTCCTATTACAAAATATTTTACCTGTTTGTCTTGTATGTTGCGTCCATGTATGTTATACGGTCATATTTCTCGAAATAGGAGTAAGAATATTTTGGAATTCCAAAATATGATTGTCGTGTTTCTTTCCCTATACTGTATGTTACGTTTAAAGGCCGATGATGTCAAAACATGATAATAATTTTTCCAATTTAGTTGGAAAAATGACCGTCTTGTTTTAATATCACAAACGCTATTATTCCTATTTAGAGAAATTTATTTTTTAATTGATCCATAATAAAAAATGTTCAACATCAAACACATTAAATTCGTTTATCCATAAAGATAAATTATAATTTAGTCATAAGCTAAAACGTGCACGTTGGATGAATACAAATATATTACTCTAGTTATATTATGACACATAAAAAAGTCTGTTTAAATTGAAATAAAGAAGATATATATCAGAGTGTTTTTTGAATAAAACGTTACACATTTTATCTTTTACGGAAACTGCCCCATACCTTTTTTTTTATTAAAAACTAGAAAGTGGCACGAGAAAATAATAATACTCCATCCACGGTACTCTGTAGGACAAAATTGTCCAGGCTTGAAAAAATGTGGGTGCGCCTAGTATTATTTGCGGCGCGCAGAGAAGCTCCTTTTTATAACTAGTTTATACAGAAAACAATCCAAGTACATTACATACAGTAACAATTTTTTCTGTGATAGAGACAAAAATTTGTCGAGATGAAAAGTAAATTCTTCATAGAAAGAAATTGTCTGTGCACAAACAATTCGATTAGCGTCCAAGATGGTGTGTGCGAAAAACGTGCACAAACACCATTTCCTTTCATAATTTGTTGTCCTTAAAAATTGTGTCTAATAGTTGTCTCATTTAGTTATACCAAGAAAAATATTAATTACATAATTATACTTTTTAAATAGAATTGGTAGAGTAGATTGGAACGATTAAATAATGAAACTTGACAACCCTTTCAAGCACAGAGAGTATAACATGTACACACTAAACATTAGAGAATTGTTTGACAATCATTGTAGCTGATAATAGATAGTGTGATCGATAATAGCAGATTTGTTAGTTATTCTAACCATTCAATGGTATTAACAAATCTAAATAAAGTCTTCTGTTAATTTAATTGTTTAGGATTAGTTGTCAAGATGTAAAATATCAATGAGAATATAAAACTACTTTATGTATACATTTAAATACATTGATCTTTAAGATCAATTTTGTTTTTTAATATCATTTACTATTATTTTACATAATTAATTATTACTTTATTGTGTCCCAACTCCCAATCGGGTACCTCACTTTGTTGCAAAAAAACTCTTGCCAAGAACTCTCTTCATAGTTACGTGATGTCTCAAACATAAAATTGTACAATCAATCATGAAGTATTACTGCATTAGTGATATTTGAAAATTAGGAACAATTGTGAAATAGCAATCCATCAAGTACAATATAGTCAACCATTATATGCTTTATTTGATTAAGCAATTAAGGAATTCATTATTGTGAAATAATGACAAAATGTAGAATAACATAAGTCGTCATGAGAGATTAACATATAAGACTATCATCAGCACGATATAGATGACAACTTAGAAGTCTAGCTTGACAACAATTTTTGCAAACATTGTAAATCCTCGTGTTATTCTGTGGGCATAGCATATAGAACGCTTCAGGGTTGCATTCTTGTGTACAGAAGATGTCTGCAGCCTCAACTTTTTCAACATTATTCCTCACGAATAGAATACCTATCATGTTATGATCGAGGATGAGGATAATAATAACAACAATAAAAAGGATAATAAATTCAAAATAATGACGACGACCATGATAATTGAAAATCGGGTTAGCAATTCATATTAAGGAGGTCAAATGTAATCTTAGTGAAAATTTGAAAACAAAAATAATTTAATAGATAATGATAATTTCTAAAATGTGTAAATATCAGGAGTAAATAACAGCTAAATTGTAAAAATACTTGTACATGTATATAGTAGGTAACCATAAAAGTTGAAATGAGTCATGAGATTCAACAACATTATGTTCTAGAAGAAAAAAAAAAGTCCGAATTGAACATCATTCACGTTTTTAAATAGAATCCCAAACACTTTATACTGAAAATGGAGTTTTCAAGTATCAATTCCAAAGGAGTATGATATAATATTTTAATTAGATGTATGATATATAACACATACCAAATACAATGAAGGAAGTGAAGAAGATAATTTCATTGCATGAACCCATATTCCCTGAGGATGTAGTGACGTAACTGAACTTAGGATGAAGAAAGTATTGTGGGTTTGAAATCAGAAAAGTCTATGTACAATTGTGAGCTGCAATTACCTATTTATAATAAAAAAAGGTGAACAAAAAAGTAAAAGAAATATGGAAAAGATCTTACTCATTAAGGAGGAAATAGAGGTTACTTAAAATAAATTAAACACCATTAAAGTCTCATGGATGCTTATATAACGTCACAATTTTAACCATTCAATTCAAATATATACTATATATATTATTGAGTGCATCTATTGATTCTATTCATTGAATAAAACTAGGCCAACTTAAGCAACTCACAGAATGAGAAATGTGTAGACATTCACAGTATCAAAGTGAGCACATAATATATTACGATGTACTATAAAAAATTAGGGAAATTATCCTAATGGGACTAAAAATGTTTGTATATTTCAAAATGGAACTATCACGTTTTTTTTTCCTAAATAGGTATAATTAATGTCATATTTTGGCAGTATCAAACTTTAAACATGGCTCTATTGTCTAAGTTTAACAGTAATTACACCTACTTAGGAAATAAAAACATGACAACCCTATTTTGAAATTCTCAAACATTTTTACTCATATTTTGAGAATTTTCCCAAAAATATAAGATGGTAAAACACTGATAAACCGAAGAATAAAAAATTAGGCTTGCATTTTTAAATTAAAAATAGAGTCATCATAGTTGCAAACATGAGACGAGAAAGTAATCTTGGAAAAAATACATTAATATTACTAAAGCATATCTGTTTTCCTAATTAATACTCCCTCCGTCCCCCTGTTATTGTCCCATTTTCTATTCACTTGGTCAACACAAATCACTCTTAATCTCTTACTTTATTTATCAAATTTTTATCAAATTTGATTCTGGTTTTTGCGACTTTGTAAATCTTTTAATGTAGTTTCTGAATATGTAATTTTTTTTTCCTAAAAATAATTTGAGTGCGGATAGGGATCTGTTTGCTTTATCGTCGGTCAAGCATCGTAAACCGCAATGGAACAATAACAGGGGGACGGAGGGAGTATATGACAATGTGTGTGTGTACGTTTGAATATGCAAATGACTATAACTATCATCTAAGACTTGGGACACATGAGTGATTTAGAAAGACATGATTCATTAATGATAGTAAGCATGTTTTCTTTTAGACTCAAATTTGCTGGTCTGGTTTGTTCTGAACTGGTCTAGTCTGGTCTCATAAATGTCAGGTCTTTGTGTATTTTATAACTGTCCAAGTCTAATCTGAGCTTGTCTGATCTGTTTAAGTCTGGTCTAGTCTAGTCTGTTAAAGTCTTGTCTGGTCTGATCTGGGACTCAAAACAGCCCAAAAGAAAACATAGGTTGAAAGTAACAACAATTAATTGAAATTCAAACATTATTTATTTTTATAGAGTTTTTTTCGAATTAATGCTAATTAATTAATA